GTGCTGCGGGTCGTGGAGGAGTAAGGCGCCCTGCCGTCCTCCACACCATGCTTCTTCCACGACCAAGGGGCAAGATCCCCCTAGAAACAGACCCCACAATACACCCCTTTTCTGAGACAAGCCATCCTGCCTGGGGTGCTCCGAGCTGGAGCCAATCCCTATAGACCATCCTGCTCGGCTCCGAAGGATTCCTAGAGCCCCACCTAGCAGTCACGGTTCCCTCTTCACCCAGGGGACTTTACGGGACCTTTTAGAGCCACGACCAAGGGGCAAGATCCCCCTAGAAACAGACCCCACAATACACCCCTTTTCTGAGACAAGCCATCCTGCCTGGGGTGCTCCGAGCTGGAGCCAATCCCTATAGACCATCCTGCTCGGCTCCGAAGGATTCCTAGAGCCCCACCTAGCAGTCACGGTTCCCTCTTCACCCAGGGGACTTTACGGGACCTTTTAGAGAGAGACCAGCAATTCCTAAGGAGCAGCCGGAGACTGGGTAGAGTGAGAAGTTGGTCCCAGCTCTCCATCGTCTCTGAGCAACCGCGCCTCTGCCCCGCCACGCCGCTGGTTTGTGGCGCTGCCCCGGCGGGGTCTGTACCCAGAGCTTCAGGGATGCGAGCAAGGAGTCCCTTGTACCCTGCAGCTGCAAGCTCAGGTCTCAAACCGTACAGTCCATTTGACAGTAAAGCAATCCCCCATCAATGTGTATTGGCTGCGCAGGTGTGTTTGGGCACGGACGGGAGCGGGACTGGCAAGGATGGGAGGTGTAGGAGGGCCTGGCAGAGTTGGAACGGTAGGGAGGGTACCACAGCTTCTAGCGCAGCACCATGGAAAACCTGCCCGGGCTCGAGCAAAGAAGAGAGACCGCCCACTTTGTAGTTCAAAGTCCTCGTTTATTTCCAACATTCGCTCTGTGGTCATATCTGAGCAACAAAGCCGTAGAACAACAAGAGGAGAAATCGGCGGTAGAAAGGTCGGGCTTTTCTTAGCCGGTCTGAAGCTACTTTTTAGGCTCTCACTTGAGTTCTGTCTCGTGCACTTTTGTACTTAGCCACACGTTCCAGCGTAAGTGAGAAATGTGGTTGGTATTTCATGTGTGATTGGGGGGGAGAGGGGTGTTTCAGCTTGGGTGTGCTACCCCACGCAGCCCGCTTCGCCTAGCTCAGGGAACAGCCGGCGGCTAGAAGCGTAAGGGTCACAGTGAATGTGCGTACAATGGAGCAAACTACAGCGACCTTCCTTATAGAGGTGTGCCCCGCAGTGACTACGGCCTGCCAAAAAGTGCCCCATCTTGAACCCAGCAACCTTCACTGGGGAGAGGTAACACTCCTTGCTAAGCCCTCAAGGTGCATCAACACTGCACCGCAGCTCAAAATAAGCTACGCAATTTGAGTGATGCCAAATTTTGAAAGTGCCAAATTACGCAATAAGCTAGCTACACAGCGCCACATTTTGAAATAACCTGCTGTTCCAAAATGTCCCTTACTTCCTAGTACAGAGGCAGAGCAGCGCTCTGGGTCGCCCACACGCTGTGCTTTGACCCCTGCAGGTCGTGTGGAGGGTTAAGTTCCGGAGGAAGGGAGGGCTAGCGAAAGCAGGTACGTCAAGCATATGAAAGGAGAGGACTTGTTGAGTTAGGGCTTTCCTTGACCCATCAGAGCTGGGACAAAGCCAATGGGAGCAAGTCTGGTGAACACTTGGGCTATGTCTAGATTCCAAGCCTCTTTCGAAAGAGAGCGTCTAGACTGCAACCTCTTCTTTTGAAAAAGTGAGCTGCTTTTTCGAAAGACAGCACCCAGGCAGTCTGGATGCTCTGTTTCGAAAAAGGCCTGTTTACATTCAAGAACGCCTTTTTTCGAAAGAACACTTTCGAAAAAAGGCGTTCTTCCTCGTGAAATGAGGATTACCGCCGTCGAAAGAAAAGCCGTGTTCTTTCGATTTAATTTCAAAAGAATGCGGCTGTCGTCTAGACGCAGGGGAAGTTTTTTCAAAAAAGGCTACCGTATTTTCCGGCGTATAAGACGACCCCCGATTTTTGGGGGATGTTTTTTAGTATAAAAAGTCGTCTTATACGCCGGAAAATACGGTAGCCTTTTTTGAAAAAACTTCCCCTGCGTCTAGACGACAGCCGCATTCTTTTGAAATTAAATCGAAAGAACACGGCTTTTCTTTCGACGGCGGTAATCCTCATTTCACGAGGAAGAACGCCTTTTTTCGAAAGAACACTTTCGAAAAAAGGCGTTCTTCCTCGTGAAATGAGGATTACCGCCGTCGAAAGAAAAGCCGTGTTCTTTCGATTTAATTTCAAAAGAATGCGGCTGTCGTCTAGACGCAGGGGAAGTTTTTTCAAAAAAGGCTACCGTATTTTCCGGCGTATAAGACGACTTTTTATACTAAAAAACATCCCCCAAAAATCGGGGGTCGTCTTATACACCCAGGCGCCTTATATGCCGGAAAATACGGTACTTTTTTCGAAAAAACCCTGGTTGTGTCTAGACTGGCAAGTTTTTCCAAGCTTGCCAGCTGTCTACACTGGCCGCTTGAATTTCCACAAGAACACTGACTTCCTACTGTCTGAAATCAGTGCTTCTTGCGGAAATACTATGCTGCTCCCGTTCGGGCAAAAGTCCTTTTGCGCAAAACTTTTGTGCAAAAGGGCCAGTGTAGACAGCTCAGATTTGTTTTGCACAAAAAAGCCCTGATTGTGTAAATGGCGATCGGGGCTTTTTTGCACAAAACCGCATCTAGATTGGCCATGGACGCTTTTCCGCGAAAAGCGTCCGTGCCAATCTAGACGCTCTTTTCCGCAAATGCTTTTAACGGAAAAGTTTTCCGTTAAAAGCATTTGCAGAAAATCATGCCAGTCTAGACGTAGCCCTGCAGTCTAGACACAGCCTACGGGTCAGAGGCCTTTGTTGCTATTACCGTGCTGTCCCCATTAGGTGTTTTTTTCCTCCCAGGGGTAAGATGAGCAACTTGGGCATATTCTGTTTAGGGGTAGCAGTGTGGACAGGGTGGAGTAGGGTCCTGGGTGCCAAGACTTTCAGTTTCAAGGCCTTGCTTCAAATACAAACCTGCAGATGACCAGTGGCCCATTTACTGGCCTACCCCAGATGGGTTGGTTCCGGATGGAGGCGCTCAAAGCACAAGCACCCTCCATCACATTGGACACTAATCTGCCTTGTCCCTGGCTGTCTGGGTGGGAGGTCACCAACAAATAAATGGGTCTGAAGACCAAACACTCCTCTTACCTGCCAGCATGGGTCCCCCAGGTCTGCGCTTCAGCACCACGTCAGACCTCAGCTGATCAGTCACGAGGCTGTCAGTCCAGCTCCTTCCATGGCTTCCAACTATTTCCTCTCTCGCCATCTACAGTGCTAAATAATTCCACCTAGAGTTCAATGCGGCTATGCATTGAACATTCTCCAGCTGCCATCCCTGAGGGCATGTGTGTGGCGCTGTAAGCTCATCTGCGACCAATTCTTACCTCACGCGGCAGGGGCCCTGCGACTGGTTGCTAAGGAAATGGACCAGCATGAGAGAGATGCTTTTTTTAGTAATTTTTACCTCACTTGGTAGTGGAGATAAAAAAAAAAAGTCAGTTTTACCGAGAGCTGGACTGGACGTTCTAGGTTGTCAACATTTTTCATGCTGTGACCCCATTTTACCACAGAAAGTAGGCGTCAGCCTCCAATCTAGTGCCCTACAGATCTGCTTGTGTGGTTGTGATCCAGTAGGTCTATTCCATCCCTATTGCTGTCACAAATCTAGGGCTGGAAGAGACCTCAACAGGTCACCGAGTCCAGCCCCCTGCCCAAGGCAGAACCAACCCCAACTCAATCAACCCAGCCAGGGCTTTGTCAAACCAGGACTTAAACACCTCTAGGGATGGAGATTCCACCCCCTCCCTAGGGAACCCATCCCAGCGCTTTACCCCCTCCTAGTGAAATAGTTTTTCCTGGTATCCAACCTAGACCTCCCCTACTGCAACTGTCGTAAACAGAGTTAGTCCTAAAAAGAATACGTCGCCGTTCCCCGGAAGATGGCACAGGGCTTTGCACACTGAGAGCTTTTAGTTCTTTATGGAACAATTTTTCAATAAAATCTTGCGCTTTTTAATGCCTCTAAACTAAATTAAAGTCACGCCTAAAAAAAAGCCTGTGAAGATAAAAGGATTTTTTTTTCTGGCAGCAGCAGGAGCATCATCTGCATTGTGAGCACATGTCAGTAATTTCACTAGTCCCTTTCCTCTCCCCCCACCCATCCCTCCCCCCAGGAATTATCTAAAGTAGCCAGGGAGAGGTTATTCTGTTTTACATTCTAAGACAGACACCAGTGCTCAGTTGCAGCTAATAGGATGTGAAGGGAACAAAACGATCAAACAATTCATTTATTTGCTTCTCCGTTCGCTTTCGTCAAGCAAGAGTGTGAGAATGCCTCGCAACTTGGCTAGATCTTCACCCTCCCTCTCTCTCTCTTCCTCCTTTCTAATGCCACAGTCGCTGCTGGAGCTGACAGCTCCCAGAATGCCTCCACGCTCTTCTGCCTGTGCTCATTTCATCAACACGAGACCAGTGGTATTGCCTTGGAAAGTGACAAGCAGAGTTTGGTTGGTCTAGACACGAAAGACCTCATTAAGGACTTAAGAGAGTCTGGAGAGTCAGAAGAGTCTAAATAATTAAGTTAGTTCGTACTGTACATAGCCCTCATTAGACAAATCCCTTCAATAGATACAGTGGAATAATAATTACTATACTTATTACGGGTTCAGAAATCACCACGTCCAACCTCTTCATTCAAATGTCCCACAGAAGCTTACAATGATCTGGACCCAGGTCAACCCAGGACCATGCTGGGTCTCTTACTTAGCTGTCCCCGTTCATTCAAGGGTTCCTCTCTGTTGCAAGAAATCCCACGGAAAGAAATGGAAACTCCCAACCCTCAGTGGCCATCTCGTTGGCGCACCCTGTGAGACCAGGACAACGGTGATTACACGTCTGTACTAATAGCCCTCGGGTTCAGAAAGGCCTCGCGGACAGTGCCATGACGGGTCATCGGGTAACGCTGGAGGGTTGCCATTTTGATGGGCGGCCCTCTTTCCTGGCAGCATGTGGGCGTGTAGGTGACTCTCTCGCCACCGTTCCGCACCATGTCGGCGGTCCGTATGTAAAAGGGCGAGCCGTAGGGGGAACAGGTCGGGCAGTAGTTCCGAGCGCCATGCTGGTTAATTTCATGGGGTGGGGGCGCAGGGCTGCCCTGCCCATCCACGACGCGAGCGTTGCAGGCATTGCAGGTCGTAAGGTGCGAGTGGGCGGGAAGATCCGGCTCTTCCTCCTCCTCCTCCTCCTCTTCCTCTTCCTCAGCAGACTCATCTTTCTTGCAGCAATAATACTGTGCACAAGGGAAAGGCTCGGGTTAGCAAGGGGATGGTGCGCTCTCCAGCTCTCCAGCTAAAGGCTTCTAGAGCAGTGTTTCTTAAACTGTGTTCCGTGACACACTAATGTGCCATGGAGAACAGAATTCAAAATGGCCGCCCTTAAAGGGGTAGGCGACTTTTTTTTCCCCCTCAATAACTTTCCCCTGACCTTTTTTTTCCCCTTAATAACTTTCCCTCCAACCCTTCCCCCCCCCCCCCCCATCCTTGGTGTTCCTCATAAAAAAAATATTGTTTGGTGTTCCTCTGTCTTAAGAAACACTGTCCTAGAGGGTCTTTCCCGTACGGTCTTGGACTCAGGCTACATTTGAAGGCATTTTTAGGATTCATGGTCATTCTTGAAACCCCCCCTTCCCATGTTTCTCCAGCTCTGAAAGTCTCCCTTTCAGCTGGGCTGAGGGATAACCGTCAACTACTGGGACTGCCACACAGAACCATTGGAGAGGAGACACAAAGGACTTACAAATGGCCACACTGGGCAGGACCAAAGGTCCATCTTCAGGACAGGACATTGACAGTGGCCAATGCCAGGTGCCCAGAGGGAGTGAACAGAACAATCAAGTGATCGCTCCTGTCACCTATGCCCAGCTACTGGCAAACAGCCCAGCAGCCTGTCCTCCGTGAACTTATCTAGTCTTGGCCTTCACACCATCCTCTGCAAAACCGCCACCCCCAGGATCTGCACCCACCCACCGGGAGAAAGGAAAAGCCATTAACCCTTCACACCCTGGAGCGTCCCGGGAAAGAGATAACAAAGATCTAACAATGACACAACCCCAGGTCCTGCGGCAGCGGGGTACATAGCAATGCACAGCAGCATTCCTCTAACTCACTTGCATGGTGCAGGGACGTACCCAGCAGAGGTACACGCCTCCGAAGTGCCCTTACGTACCTGTAGCCTACAATAGCAGAGCACAGCAATAATACACAGTAGGATCACAGTCGCTAGTATTCCGCCGGTGATAACAACAGTTCCTGCTGTCATCCGACCGATTCTCCATCAAACTCTGAAAGGCAGGGCAAGGAAAGGAGGGGGTTAAACACGAGAGGGTGGATTGCAAGGGTCAGTTACAGTGGTCAGGGTTAGGGGATGGGATTGTGCAGCTGCTGTATCCATGCAGCCTCCACTGACTTTACATGGGGGTAGCGGAGTTTTCTGTGCATGTGGGAGAAAGTCTGCAAAATAGACAGAAGGATGGAGAAAGCTGTGGCCAGTGAAATGCAGCTCTCCAGGACTAGCGAAGAGGGGAACGGAAGAGCCGTCTCTTGTACCTCGCACCCTATCCCTTTCCACACGGGCCTCCCAAAGCGCTTAACGAACAGTAATTAACCCTTGCAGCCCATTACCCCATGCTATTGGTGAGGGAGCCAAGCTGGAAGGATTCACCCAAGGGTCAATGAACCAGTCAGGGACAGACCCCTGAGTTCTGACCCTTCAAGTAGGGATGTAAAATTCCATTGAATCAGTTAACTGGTTAGATGTTTGGTTAACCTAACATTCAACTGGTTTACCAACTAAGTGGGATCCTGGCTCCGGGGCCAAGGCTCCTACTAGCTCCTGGCTCTGCCCGGGCAGCCCTCCATCTGCAGCAGGCCAAGGGCTGCTCCCGGGCACCGGTTAACCGGTATCCGGTAAGCCAGACTCAGTAAGGCTACGTCTACACTACGAGTTTTCTTGGGAAAAAATATGCTAATGTGGGACTCATTTGCATGAGTCGCAATCTCATTTGCATATTTTCTGCCGATCCGTTTTTGGGCTAGAGGTTTTGGTGCAAAAACAAGCAGTGTGGACATTTTCTTTTTGCGTAAAAAACCCTTTTCCCGCCAGATCGGTAAACCTCCTTTTTGGGGGCATAGGGATCTTGTGGAAAAAAAGGTGTTTGCGCAAAAAGGAAACGGCCACACTGCTTGTTTTTGCGCAAAAAACCCCTAGCACAAAAACGGAGCGGCAAAAAATATGCAAATGAGATTGTGACTCATGCAAATGAGTCCCTCATTAGCATATTTTTTGCAGAGAAAGCTCGTAGTCTAGACATAGCCTAGGGGTGATGCTCAGCAGGTAACCTGTTACCTGTTCGCACCCCTACCTTCAAGCTTCTGGCATAGTCACTAGGTGGCACTAACTCAACAACACACAAGCTGGGAGACTGTCCAGTTAAGCTTGGAAGGGGTGAATTAAGGCTGATGTTCTTACAGCTACACGGGCAGCGTGTCAATACACCAGGGGAGAACAGCCTCAAGCCCCTGCCTGTGGCCTCGAGTGGGCCAGCAAGTTTCCAGGTGAGGGATACAGGGCTGCCCCTCAAAAAGGAGGTCCCTGTGCCGTGTGACCTGCCTGGTCCAACTGCAGGTGGCTTACGTCAGCAGAATAAGCACAGACGTCCCTCCAGAGAGAAGTGCAGTGGTGACGAGGAGCATGACGCCAGATTAGAGCCCAGAGCTCGAGCAGGGAACGCCGAAAAGGCACAGCCTGACTTGGCCTTGGCAAACCCAAACTCCAGAGCACAGCCGGCTCCCAGGCATCAGCAGCCCTGGGGAAAGCCCTCAGGCGCTCCGCAATAGCTCAGCACCATCCAGCACTAAAATGCTGTAGAGGCGGGAAGCCGGCGCAAAGAGGGCACGAAGTGGGGGACAGGCCTGAAAGGGTTAATAAAACGGCACTTACTTCACTGACGGATGCTTGGACCTGCGTGGGATGGGGGAGGGGGGAAGAGAGAGAGAGATTAGACCAGGGGTGGGAAAAGGGACCTCCCCAGGCCTGCCAGGTGGGTTGATCTGGCCCACGGAGGCCTTGTCACTCTCTCACCCCCAGGCCAATTAGGGGCTGGGAGGAGGCTTCGTGCGATCCCCCGCCCCCAAACCCTGATTGGCCTGGGGGCAGAAGAGGGAGCATGCTAAGTCTCCTCCCACCGCCAGGAGGAACTTTGGGGGGGGCCAATCATGGTCTGTGGGTGAGGAAGCATCCTAGCCCCGCCCCTCCACTTGAGGCCACGCCCCTTCTGCTCCAGGCCATTTAAAAAATTCCTGAAATGGCCTCCAGCAAAAAAAAATAATTGCCCAGCCCTAGACCATGTTCATCCATTGCGCAATATTTCCCACCCGCCACCAGGGGGCGGTGATTCGAACCCAGACAGGCGTGGGGTGTTCAGCGCCTGATGTCCAGCCGCACCAAGCGCTAACAGCTCCTGTGGAAGGCAATGGGAATCGGAGATGCCAAGCGCCTCTGAGAACCAGGCCCCGCATTCGCTCGCTCCCATTGCTGGGCCTAGGACCGGAGGGGTCGGGGACGAGGCGACGTGGCAGAGTCCAGGGGCCACGCCTGATGGTCCTGCAGAGGCTCTATGGCCCGGGGGAGAAGATTCCGCTTCCTTCTGCTCCCTGAGAACGGCCTCCCCCGCCCTCCCCTCCTGCACTGGGCAGGTCTATCTGGGCTGCTCACAAGGGCCAGGATCAGGCATCACACACATGGGGAGTCCACATTTCAGTGCACTGCCTGGATCCTCTGAAAGCACGGGTAGCCCTGCCCCAGCGGGACTGGCAGTGCCCACCTAACCCTGTGGCCCCACTAGTGCCCAACTCCTTCCCCCAGCCCAGCCGTGCCGCCTCGTGCACTAGTGAAAGGCTCAGCAGCTCCCTGCCGCTTTAACACGGACACTAGTGCAACCTTTTGAGACTCGGACAAAAGCCTCAGCTGCTCAGAAGCCTTTCAGGGACTCCCACACGAGGGCCGCTGGGGTGCCCCTGGCAGCGCGGCAGCTTCCGGCTCTCCAAGTGCTTCTGCATGTCCAATGAATTCAGCCACCTCTCGGACGCTGGCGTTGCTGCTCCATATGTGTTTTCCAGGGATCAAACACCACAAGGAGACTCGCTTCCACAGCCAGTAGACGCGCCCCCAAAAAGCTCCAACCAGTAGCAGGGCCTCTCTTAACTACCTGCTGTATGGGGACAGTGCCTACCCCACAGGCTGTGACGTCACTGCTAAGCTGGCTATACTCAAGTTAGCCTGGACTGCGTGAGAGCAGCCAGGTTGCCAACCAACAGGGGCAGGCCAGGACTGGAATTTGGGGCATCACTCAAGTTGTAACTGGAGTTAACTCTGCAGAGATGAGCCCTAAGTGACTTGCCCATGGTGTCACAGGCAGTCAGTAGCAGAGCCAGGCTCAGGTGGTGCTGTTGCCACCAGATCAGCCTCCTGTGTCCTTGGTATAGTGTCCCCTAGAGCATAGATCTGCAGTCACCACACGACATCAAACGGAGGATCAGCGCACGGGGAGCACGTCTCCCCTTCCCCACCAGACTCGGGGGCTTATTTCAAACACCAACCAGATGTCTAACCTGGAGCAGGTGGGCTGTCCTGAGTAGCTTGGCTGGACACTTACACTGAAAACGGCTGCAATGGTGCCAGAGTCACATGGGCCCAAGAGGAGATGACGGGAGACAGAAGTGCCACATGGCCAGGTGTGGCTTGTCGCTGAGGGGGGAGAAACCAGAAGAAGGATGTAGAAAGCAGTACTGTGGTTACCGGCGCCTGCCAATCACAGTTGAGAGCAGGGACACACACACACACACACACACACACACACACTCTCTCTCTCTCTTTCTCCCCCTCCCCGCCCCCAAAAGACAGCTCCCCATTGGACCAGACAAGACAGGTTGGGAGGGGAGACAGAGGCAAAGTGATTTGCTCGGGGTCACACATCAGTGATGTGTCAGAGCTAGGGACGGGCCACAGGTCTGGGAACCCCTCAATTACTCTTTGACAGCTCCCATTATAATGCCGTTCAGCTGGAAACACAGGATTTGCCTTACCTGACATCCTGCCTGGGAGTGACCCAGTCCTTCCTGCTCCAAAAGGAAGAGGGTAAATCCACCCACCCTAAGGCCAGTGGACCCAGTTTCCCGGCAGCCTGTTTACCAGCGACACCCCCCGCTCAGGGTCTGTCAGTTTCCCTTTCCCCCATGCAGCACTGATTCAGTAACTGGGGAAAATGGGCTGCAGTTGCCGTGATCACTTTTCATTAATCGTTCCCTGTTTCCCTTTGAGTCGCAGCCCCTCAGGATGGGACCTGAGCTCTGGCCAATCCAATCTAATTAAACCCTCAAGAGATACTCATTAACTCGTGAAATGGAGCAAGTGAGGGGGCAGCCTGGATAAGAGGTGGCCTCAGCCACAGAGCAGCCTGTGATGGTGCCAAGCAGCTGCCTGTTAGCCTGCCACATGCCCGATGGGTTCCCATGGCCATATGGACAACTCCCCATAAGGCAGATGTTTCACAGCTGTAACTACACACACAGTGCACAAGGAATCGGCCCACGCACTGTTTGAGCTGAAAGCAGGCTGGGGAATGGAGGGGAAAAGAGAAGGATCGTGCCGCTCTGCATGCAGCTCCATTATCTCTGCTAGCGCTGACTTTTCTAAAGGGCCTTTGGTCTTTCCCACTGGATCACACCAAACGACCGACTGTTCCTAGGGGAGCAGATTGCTAGACACTCCCCTGCAAGGAGCTCCCCCAGTCCACGTCCCACCAATGCCTCAGCTCAGAGGCTAGTCATATCACTCAGCACAGGAAGCACTTATGTAAACCAGCTGATGGGGGCAAGCTGGAAATTCAGAAAGAGGGACAAGAAAAATTAGAGCAGGGTGGGGAAGATGTGTGGGAACAGATTAGAAGTATCGAGTGCACGTAGCTGTCTTTGCCTTGATGGCGGGGAACATTCAGTGAGATACGCCAAATCCTTATAACGAGGCTACAAACAACAACAAAGGTAGGAAGAAAATGGAAACCTCTTAGATTAATTCTCTAGAAGCCAGATCCACAGGGAAGCCCTGGAATTACAATGCAGGACAATGTAGCACTTTAAAGACTAACAAGATGGTTTATTAGGTGATGAGCTTTCGTGAGCCAGACCCACTTCCTCAGATCAAATAGTGGAAGAAAATAGTCACTATTTTCTTCGACTATTTTCTTCCACTATTTGATCTGAGGAAGTGGGTCTGGCCCACGAAAGCTCATCATCTAATAAACCATCTTGTTAGTCTTTAAAGTGCTGCGTTGTCCTGCATTTTGCTTCAGCTACCCCAGACTAACACGGCTACACTTCTATCACTGGAATTACAGTTCATCTGCAAATTCAATTCACATGCTAATGGACTCAATCTTGATGAAGGCTGGTTGGGACACTACCAATTTAACAACCATTGAAGGTGCTAACAGCTCTCTGAGTAGTATGCTTCCTGACATGGGAATCTATCTGTTGACTTTGATTTTTATCTGCTTAGGTTTAAGTACCTATTCTCCAGATACTTACTGATGCTCTGTCTCCCATCCCCCTTCCCTTTCCCCTCTCCTATTTATTTCGAGTGTTCACATCCCAAACTCATAACTCCGGTCATCTGAAGAAGTGGGCTCTGCCCACGAAAGCTCATGATACCAACTACATGTTTTGTTAGTCTATAAAGTGCTACCAGACATTTGTTGTTTTTTTCCATGGAATCAAGTTAAACAAAAAGAGCTTTGTTCAACTTCAAGGAAATATTCTAAGAGGCAGAAATATTCGACTATGGTCCCCAAGAAGCACCGCAGAATCCCCATTGGTCAGTTATTTAAAAGCAGACTTGTCAAAACATTGGTAAATATCCAACACGGAGCAGTCCTGCACTGGCCAGCGACAACTGGAGGGGGATTTTCCAACTAATTGCTTTTCCATCAGAAAATGTTCATTTGTCTCAACTGAAGTTGTTGGCAGGAAAGGGCTGATTTCAACAAATCTCCGGTGTGTGCATGTGGGAAGAGTTTCAGAAAATTGTTGTTTGGTCCAACAATTTTCTGAAACTCTTTAGTAAAT